TTATGTTTACTAAAATAATTGCATTTCCATGTTCTGTGTACTGTAGGAGACCAGATATAGTGAATGTAGGGTCCTAGGTTTAGTAACACTCGGGACACAGCTGATGACATATCACTACACCGGCCTGTTGCCAGTGTCATGTGACCAATCACAGCAGATTACATGTCAATTATAAACAATGCCATGCCATCCATTGTATACAATTATGTTGTCAGCTGTGACTGGTCAAGGCAGTCACATGATACAGACAGGGCCATTCACAGCCCATCTGTATCATGTGATCAGCTTTGCCCAATCACAGCTAATCACAACAAAAGACTGAATGAATCAGTTTCATTCAGTAACAATGATTGCAAATATCAATGAAATACATTGGTATTAGCAATCATAATGTGTTAAAACAAAAAAAATCCTGATCACTTGCCCAGAGTAGTTCAATGTTACTATGGTAACATTGTATTGCTTTGGTCACAGTGTGCTGAAAAATAAAATAGTAAAAAAAAATGTAATAAAAAAAAAAAAAAAATAGAAACAAAAAAATACAAATTCAAATTATTATTATTATTTTCACCACAGAAATGTAGCAGAATACATTTTGACCTAAATTTATGAAGAAATGTTATTTATTTGCAAAATGTTATAACAGAAATGAAGAGAAGTGTATTTGTTTTAAAAAATTCCGGTGTTTTTTCTTTTATTTAACAAAAAATAAAAAATTCAGTGGTGATTAAATACCACCAAAAGAAAGCCCTATTTGTGTGAGAAAAATGATAAAAATGTCATATGGGTACAGTGTTGCATGACTGCGCAATTGACATTCAAAGTGCGACAGTGCTGAAAGCTGAAAGTTGGCCTGGGCAGGAAGGGGGTATAAGTGCCCGATATTGAAGTAATTAAGGATCTAATGCTCTAGGAGAGCTTGTGATAGAAACAATCACTTACCTCATTCCTCAGCCCCCCCAGGTCTCCCCCTTGCTATTCGCCAAACTGTCCCACAAAACCACACCTCTTCTCCAGTTATGTAGCCTCCCCCTCACTGACATGAGTTACAATGCAGTATCAGCAATCACTTCTGATCCTGCCTTCTACAAGTAGATGTAATGGGCCCCGTCCACATTCTAGAAGTGTAAGCTATCACCTAACCAAGGAATAAGGCAAGTGTTCCTCTGCTTTACACCTCTCTAGATGAAACGAGAATTAAATCTCAAATACAGGGGAAAGGGGTTATATCTGACTGGATTTCAGCTTTAATTAAATGTCAAATACAGTTGCAATTCGGGAAAGTTTTAATTTATTGAGCCAGAATGTGTTCTTCCTCGGAGGGTTATTCAGAAATATTACAGCAGGGGTAGGCAACCTTTGAGAGGTGGTATGAGGACAGGAAGTTGGTATGAAACATTTTTTGAAAAATCTAATAAAACTAATGTCACTGTAAGAAGGTATAGTGCAAGGGGGGTCAGGAGAGCACAGAAGCAGTTTCCTGATGTTGAGCAGCGCAGGAAAGCTGCTATGCATGATCTACTTGTTTTGGTGCTCTAATCCCCGCTGGAACTCCTCTCTTGTCCATGGTATGGTATGGTATAGGGTGAGCCAGAAGGGCACACCACATGGGGGCTCAGGAGGGCACAGAAGCAGTTTACTGATTGCAGAGCAGCGCAGAAAAGCTGCTATGCATGATCTACTTGTTTTGGTGCTCTAATCCCTCCTGGAACTCTTTTCTTGTCCATGGTATGGTATGGGGTGGGCCAGAAGGGCACACCACATGGGGGCTCAGGAGGGCACAGAAGCAGTGTACTGATTGCAGAGCAGCGCAGGAAAGCTGCTATGCATGATCTACTTGTTTTGGTGCTCTAATCCCCGCTGGAACTCTTTTCTTGTCCATGGTATGGTATAGGGTGGGCAAGAAGGGCCCACCACATGTGGGCTCAGGAAGGCACAGAAGCAGTTTACTGATTGCAGAGAAGCGCAGGAATACTGCTATGGATGATCTACTTGTTTTGGTGCTCTAATCCCTGTTGGAACTCCTTTCTTGTCCATCGTATGGTAGAGGGTGGGCCAGAAGGGGACACCACATGAGGGCTCAGGAGGGCACCGAAGCAGTTTACTGATTGCAGAGCAGCGCAGGAATGCGGCTATGGATGATCTACTTGTTTTGGTGCTCTAATCCCCGCTGGAACTCCTCTCTTGTCTATTCCACATGATGTCATCCACAAGCTGTTGAACTGGAGAGGAGGACCAGTGGGGAGCAGGGCAGTACACCTCTAGGGATTAGGGTTGCCACCTCATCCCTTTAAAACCGAACATATATTAGTTACACAGGTTCTGTGGCTCATTAAGGTGGCAATTAAACACACTTAGTGGCTTATCTACATTAAATTAGCCTCAGAGCCTGTGTAATTATTATGTGTTGAGGTTTAAAAGGGATGAGGTGGCAACCCTACTGGGGATGAGCTCAGGTGCATTTGGACAAGAGCCCAAATCCACCTGAGCTACCCTGCCTGAAATCTGTCAAAGCCGACAGCAAAACAGGCAGCAGAAGCATTCCCTGCCACACAGCTGCACATAAACAAAGGGCGTGCTGCGGGCCGGGAATGCCTCCACCGCCTAGGGTTGGATTTGACACCTTCCTAGCCTCAGAGCTCAGGTGGCCAGTACGCCCGAGCTCATCACTTCCCTGCACAGTCCGGTCACTCTGGAAAAGCACCTGCAGGTCGGCAAGGCAGGCTCTTGAATGCAACCTGTCACCTGCCTGCGGTCGACCATTAGATTGCAATCAATGGATTGCTGACACCAGTATCACAGACAACTCAACACAAGAACAATGCTCAGACCGACTATACCACATGGGTCTTCTGAATGTCTTCTAGAGGGTTTCCATTACATTGGGAGACTAAATAAAAAATATATGGGGGTGGGGGGATACAAATTGCTGACCTCTTTGTGAAAATGCTAGTTGCCTGCCTTTTTATCCTTTGGATTATTCAGCACAATTCTCAAATAATAAAACCGATTCATTCTCTTGATTGCCTTGCTTGACCAGAATTATTCTGAAGATATACAGACATGCACAGAGGAAGTGATACCAAATGAGAAACCTTAATCCACTGCACAAAAAGTGCTTAATTATGAATTATTCAAATTCACAAAATAAGCATTTAATGTGAAATGAATCAAGGTTCCTCTGCTCAAGCATAACACCTGTACCTGTGTGGGATTGTTTTTTTAAAATTTACTAAATACAAAAAATTATTTTTATTAAGGATAACAGGTACTGAGAGAGATATGTTGACTTGGACATTGTGCTAAATGCATCAAGGTTCTTTTTTAATGTAAATTTGTGCATGTCTGTGCATCTTCACAACAAATCTGATGATCAAGCAGGACAAACAAGGGAATGTAGCAGCTTCATTTTACTGGAATCTTGTTGAACATACCAAGACCACGCATGGCCTGAAAGCTGCAATCCTTGAAGCCTGGATATGGAAAGCTGGCTCCCTTGTGGCAGCAACGTTTCTGAAGTCTCTTTTGTCTTCTATTGCTAGCCAAGCACAAATACTGTAGGTTTTAATAGAAAAAAAAATCTAACAGGTTTCTCCATTTATGCTACACTGCGTGGATGGACACATCTTCACTTGTGGATAATGTATTTCGACGGTTGGGTTCGGCCAGGTGTCAAAAATACCTGAACAGCGTCTACATCTGGTTGGATGCAGCCACTGTTTGTCCAACAATTTTGTATATATATTTAATACAATGAACAACAACCCTCAAAGTCCCATTTAAGATACTTCATATCAAGCATAGAGATACTACACCGTTCAGCATATGTCCGATCTATAATATGCACCTAGGTAGCTTCCATGCATGCAGTAATGTGAGTTATGATCTATACTTGTACTCCCATACAGGGGCGGACTGACAACTCATGGGGCCCCCGGGCAATAGGGGATCATGGGGCCCCTGTGTCCTTGCCCAAACTCAAAAAAGCCTATGAAAAAGGTACCAGGGGCATCTCATGGGGCCCCCTACTGACCCCAGGCCCTCGGGCAGTGCCTGAGTTTCCAAATGGTAAGTCCGCCCCTGCTCCCATATTAATGACAGGAAAAAGCTCCTCTCCCAGCCAAAATAACTTCCCTTGAAATACAGTTTACTGGAGGGTTTCTGATTGGCTGACACTTTTGATCTTTCATGAAAAGAATTAGGTTCACTATAGTGTTTACCAGATACAGTCATCCTTTTACCATATAATATGCCCTAATTACCAACAATAAATACTTCTTGTATGGTCAAATCACATTCTTTATCATCCTTAAACATGTAAACAATGTACCCTTTGAAATGTCTAATTAGATAAACAGCCTATTCCCCAAATACCCAGGTGACCTTGCATAAAAATAACATAGCAAAGAGTTCTTTTGATGTGCATATATATTTATTACACACAATATACTACAAATATTCTGTCCGGTTCCTTTGATTTTTCAATTATTGGATGCTGGGTGGGAGGCATCAATCAGGACCACCCAAGGAGCCAATCTAAGGGGATCTTGAAGAACAGTGTATGGTCAGCTTTAGAACCAGACCAAAAATATTCACCCAGTTAAGTGAACACTTTTCATCTGCATATTTTTTTAGATCAGAATTAAATCAGTAATGGCAGCCAGGGCAGTGGATAAGGGGGTTCCCCCAGTCCTCCAGTATGGGGCCCAGGCCATCAGGAAGGGTGATCGACGGGGGGGGGGGGGGAAAGGGGTCAATTACTAGAACCAATCCCCTGTATGGCTCTCTGCAGCAGCTGAGATGCCAAGCACAAAAACTTTAATTTGGATATATTCCTCAACAGCCATTATATTTGCACCACACACCTTTGCAAACCCAGGTATTACTTTATAAAAGTAGTGATAAACAGGGGCAGACTGACACCTCATGGGGCCCCCAGGCAATAGGGGATTATGGAGCCCCTGTGTCCTTCCCCAAACTCAAAAAAGCCCATGAAAAAGGTACCAGGGGCATCTCATGGGGCCCCCTACTAACCCTGGGCCCTCGGGCAGTGCCCGAGTTTCCAAATGGTCAGTCCGCCCCTAGTGATAACATATCCACTGTGCTGAACATAACTTGTACACAGAACAGAACTGTGGGAGGGACATAGTAGCTCCACCCACTAGAGGCCTCCTCCTCCAAAATTACAGGAAGGGCGCAGACAAGACCAGTAACCCTGTACTAGGAGAGACAGCAACAATGACTGGTCTTTATTACAGGAAGCTCCCACACAGAGGTAAAGTTTCACACTGGACTACTGCACAGGTTTGGAAGATATACACAAATCACACCAAGATTCAAGGAAGAATATACATGACTTTTGTATTTAGACAATTTTTGCCTTTCCTGGAGCTCACCTTTTAAGATTAAAAACAACTTTTGAAATTAGATTAACATGTTTGAACTTTTTTGAACTTTTTTGAGATTTCAGTTTAGATCTACTTTAAACTTATATCTGACATAAATGATTCTTTTACAGTCACACCATGGGCCTCATTCATACACGTCTTTTCTATACAGGTCCCAGAGAACTGTTCTCACAGGAAAAATTTGGCTCATCAGTAAAATGTCGGCAGATGAAGAGAAGAAGAGACTCACACTCCCTTGGCCTGGCGCCAGCCAGACATCGGAAAAGTTGCATCGCTTCTTTCAGCCATCGGCAATTGAGATAAGGGCCCTGTGACATCAGCGGCTGTTTGCACATTAAGTGGCCTTCTTGTTCTTTAAACACGGACTCATGGCTGCACTAGGAGGTATAAATAACCTGACGACAGGACGCATCAGCAACACACAGTGAGCAGTCACACGGAACATAAAACACACACAATACTCATATACTATCAACAGAGCATGTCAAAAGAGCCTACTAAATCATCTTCTTCCTAAACTTCATGGATGCTCTAAAAACTTTAATTTTTACATCATTTGCATGTCATTTTAAAAAAAAAAAAAAATTCTTGCTAATTCCCAGCAGCTCTCTGTTAGGCCATACAGCTTATCACATTTAATAATTATTGTTGTTATTATTATTTTCCTGTATACAAACATGTCCTGTTATGCTGGATGTACCTTATCTAACTTTTTACTGACTGGTTCCCACTCGAGACAATGGTAATGTCTTATGGGATGGCTGTTTGGTATTGCTCTGCAGAATTCCATGACTAAATAAAGAATTAAAAAAAAAGAAAAAAAAACCTCTTTACAAGAATGTAGCAGGATGTTAGTCTCCCACTGTTTCCCTCTAGTGAGATTTCTGTTGTAGTCAGGGGCGGACTGACCATTTGGAAACTCGGGCCCTGCCCAAGGGCCCGAGGTCAGTAGGGGGCCCCATGAGATGCCCCAGTACCTTTTTGATAGGCTTTTTTGAGTTTGGGCAAGGACACAGGGGACCCATGATCCCCTATTGCCCGGGGGCCCCATGAGTTGAAAGTCTGCCCCTGGTTGTAGTTATAATTTTCTACCACTAGATGTCCCCACCTAGGCTTAGTTCCTTAACCACTTGAGTGCTGGAAGGTTTTACCCCCTGATCCATGATCAGGCAATTTTTTTCCTATTCAGCACTGTGCTACTTTAACTGGCAAGTTCGCAGTCATGCAATACTGTACACAAATTACATTTCTAGCATTTTTTTTCACACAAATAGAGCTTTCTCTTGGTGGTATTTGATCACCACTGGTTTTATTTTTGGTTTTTGCAATATAAAAAAACCAAAAAAAGACAGAAAACTGTGAAAATAAAAAATATTTTCTACTTTCCGTCATAAAAACATATCCAATAAAACCAAATTTCTTCAAAAACTTAGGCCAAACATTTATTCTGTTATATGTCTTTGGTAAAAAAAAAAAAATATATCCCAAACAGTGTATATTAATTGGTTTGTGTGAAAGTTGCAGCGTCCACAAACTATGGTATATATATTTGATCCCGATGTACTGATCTCATTTCATGAGGCCCTAAAACGTCAGGACAGTATAAATAGCCCCCAAATGACCCCTTTTTGTAAAGTATACAGTCCAAAGTATGTAGTGAGAGGCATGGCGAGTTTTTTGAAGTTGAAAGTTTTTGTCACAATTTTTTTGAAAATGAGGAAATTGAATAGACTTTTTTGTTCAGAATTTTTTTTTTTTCTACATACTGTCACCAGTAAAGTACAATGTCATCATATGATTCCTGTGGCTGTGATCAGTTAGGGTCATTGACTGGTGACAGCATTTAAAAAAAAAATAATTAAACTTTTTATTCCATTTTTTTTTTTTTTTTTTTTTTTTTTTAAATTTAAAAAATACTTTCATAAGGGTAGTTTAATGTCACCATAGTGCCACTGTATTACTCCAAGTGTGGTGATCAGGGATTTTTTTTTTTTGTGTTGTCTTTATTTGTGTTAACAATTAAGTTCATTGTTACAGCAAAATGTTCAACTGTCATGAATGGGTTAAACATTCATGACAGCTGTGATCACTAGTGATCTGTGATTGGCTACAGCTAATTACATGGTACAGGGTGCTGTGATTGGCCCAGGTACCATGTGATAGCTGCAGGCCAATCACAGCATAGTCAACACAGCTGTCATGAACGAACAGTGTAGGTGACATTGTGATCATGTGATCACCATGCCCTGAATACTGGGATCTGCATTCAGGACACAGCGGTCACAGGGTCAAGATTCTTCACTCCAACATTCTCTTCTTCTCTAAGGTCCAGTTTGTGGGCAGAGCTTCAGCATCATCATGTACAATACAGAGGCATTACCCTGTATGGTATGCTGAAGAGGCTGGAGTGCAAGCAAGCGAGTGGGTTAAATCTTACAGAGACAGCTGTGGGAGAACAATTGTAGAGCTGGAGGGAGCCAGGTAAGAATTTACTCCTTAATCCTCTGCCGCTAGACTACACAAGCAATTCATTCCTGTACTGCGGGAGGGCTCCACTGCAAGGGCGGATTTTTTAATTTCCCGAATAGATGGGGACATCTAGAGGTAGAAAGAAAGAACTACATCCAAAATCTCACTAGAGGGAAACAGAGTCCAACACCATGCTACATACCTGTAAGAGGTTTTTTTTTTCTATGCTCCAGTTTAAAGGACACATTTGCCTTTGGGAGCATGTAGCACCTATATTTAGGGTGTAACATGCTCCAGTAGATCACCCCCGCCCCGATTCTCCCCCTGTGACAGTGAGTGAGGGTTCTTCCCCCCGCACCGGCTGTCACAATTTAATTATAGCCTGTACAGGGCTCCACCCTCATAGCCACATCATTTATTTACAGCGATTCGTGAATGAATGGACTACAAGTACCGTCTTACACTGCGGCAGACGGCTTGTAGTTTTCAATGAACTATGAGGGCACTGGTGAGCGCTCTCTTCGTTGATCTTCCTGCTCTTCAGTAACTGTCTGCCCATACAGAGAGTCTGCAGGAGCCCGACATTACACCTGTGATCTAGAGATCAAGGGTGCAATGCTTTCCAGGCTACTGCAGAAAAAAAAAAATATAAATGAACATTTTTTTCTTCAGAAATATGTGCAATTATTTTTTTCCCAAAAGCTGAACTTGGGCTTTGATCGCTGCCCCAAATTTCCTATTTCATAGTGGCTGCTTTCTCTTGCAGCATCCTATATAGACACACTTGTATGTAGGGACTAGTGTACTGTGTGCATCAATAGAAACACACCATCCTGTAGCCTAGGATGGCAAGCAGGTGCTCCTCCCCACCACCTTCTACAAGCTAACAGACTGACTGGAGACTACACTGTATGCTTTCATCTTTTTCCTGTGAAGACCAAAAGTTCAGGGAATCAGCGCCGCGAGTGGAAAACCAGAAAGTCAGCAGATAGTTGTAAACTGCAATGATGGGTAACAATTTTAACAAAGAGTTTACAGGAGATTGTTTAATTTGGGGCTTGTTCACTGGAAGAACACCACTAGAATATGAAGAAAGCTAGAGAACATTGAGAACAATTGTTTTCTATTTTCCCCATTCGCACTGCAGCACAGCCCGGAGAGCCCTCCATTGCATCAAGTGTCCTCCCTATACATGAGAGTCCTCCATTACATCAGATTTCCCCCTATACATAAGAGACTTCCATTACATCAGAGTTCCCCCATCACAGACCCCCAAATCACACAATCCCCTCCCACCCTTTGGCTCCAGTAGTAGGGCAGAGGGGGAAGGTGAAGGAAGACTGGAAGAGGCAGACTTCCATCTACTGAATGCTGCTTGTGGTCCTGCATACTGCCTGGCCTGGATAAGAGTCTTTCAGTGCTATGGTGAAGGCAAGCTGGCCGGCCCATCTGCCCACTCTATGGCAACTGATAATGCTCATTCACGGCAAACTGGGTCCTGTGCTTGTGGAACCCTGGGGCAAGCCAGATAGCAACTCAGCCGAGAACCGAAGAACACTGTGTAAACATCACACACTTCGGCTACACAGTAGGTATAATGACATCTTCATAGCACCATATATAAAAGATACCCTGGACCTGAATCTCTGCTTAAAAATTGGATTTTTTATATATACTTACCTATAAAATCCATTTCTTGGAATACATCACGGCTATTCATGACTATCTGGGTTATAGACCACCTATAGGTGAATGAACACTGGCCAACCAATCAGAGAGGAGGTCCTCCCCTATATACAACCCCTCCTATACTATACTTCAGTATTTGTAGCAAGCAATGACATTCCAGAAAGAGGGACGGGACCTCTGTGTCCCGTGATGTACTCCAAGAAATGGATTTTACAGGTAAATATGTAGAAAAACTCCAATTTTCTTTATCGTACATCACGGGACACAGAGCAGGCTATTCATGACTATGTGGGATGTCCTAAAGCAATAAGAAATTTGAGAGGATGGCGATACCATGATAGCCACCATCCATAATCACTCAGGATTTACTTAGCCGCCTGTAAAACACTGCAGCAAAAGGTAGAATTCTCTGCGGCTCTGACATCCACCTGGTAAAACCTTGTGAATATGTGAACCAAAGACCATGTAGCGGCTTTGCAAACCTGAGCCACTGACGCCTGATGGCGAATTGCCCAAGATGTCCCCACACTCCTGGTAGAGTGTGCCTTCACCCAAAAGGGTGGGACTTTACCTATCAAACCATAGGCTTGAATGATCAACTGGCGGATCCAATGAGAAAGTCACCCTGGGTGCCGCCTGCCCCTTCCTAGGCTAATCTGGCAGCACGAATAGAGCATCTGACCTCCTGACCTGTGCTGATACCTTCAAGAAGACCCTTACAGCACGTACCACATCCAAGCTATGCAGAGATCTTTCTATTGCTGACTGAGCCCTAGGAAAGAATGAAGGCAGAACTATGTCCTGATTGAGATGAAAACTAGAAACCACCTTTGGTAAAAAAAAAAAGTCGGTTGAGGCCGCAACACCACTTTATTATGATGCAAAACCAGAAATGGTTCTTTGCAAAAAAGAGCTGCTAGCTCCGACACCCTTTTTGCAGAAGTGATTGCCAATAGAAACAACACCTTACAAGACCAGTGGAATCTCTCCAATAGGTTCAAATGATGGCTTTTGCAAAACCCCTAAAACCAAGTTCAGGTCCCAAGGACGCAAAAGCAAATTACAGGAGGAACAATTCACATCACCCCTTGTAAAAAAAAAAAAAGTGTGGACTAAAGAGTGAGACATATTATATTCCTCCCAAATCCTGAGTAAGAGACGCGGCAGCAGCTGCATCGCAGGAAAGGCATAAATCCGTGAGAACTGGTTCCAAAGAATCACTAAGGCATCTACCCCTGCCACGCAAAGGTCCCTTAGCTTGGACACAAAAATACAGACCTTGTTATTGAACCTGGATGCCAACAGATCTACATCCTGGCAACCCCATCACCGGCAGATTTCCTTGAAAACATTGGGATGCAAAGCCCATTTCCCTGGAATCAACTGCCGGTGACGGAGATAATCCGCCTGGCAATTTTCCACACCTGGAATGAACACTGCTGACAGACTTGGAACATATCTCCCTACCCAGTTCAGAATGTAGTTCACCTCCTTCTGAGCACCTCGACTCCTGGTACCACCCTGGTGGTTGATGTATGTGACTGCCATGGCATTGTTGGACTGAATCCTTAAAGAAGAACCCTGAAGCCTAGATGTCCAGTACCTCAGAGCCAGTCTCACTGCTAAAATTTCCAGAACATTGATGGGTAGAACTCTTTCCCATGGAAGCCATATTCCCTGAGCTGTGGCCTCCTCCAGAACGGCCCCCCAACCTGAAAGGCTGGCATCGGTGGTTCCCAACTTCCACAACACTGGCCAAAAGGATCTTCCCTTCTCCAAACTGTGAGTTATCAACCACCGATTCAGGCTCTGCCGCACCTCTGGAGACAGAGATATGCAGTAATCCAGGGCTGGAATCTTCTTGTTCCAAACAGACAGAATGTACCTTTGCAGTGGTCTGGAGTGGAATTAGGAATAGGAAATAGCCTCGATCGAGGACACCATCTTCCCTAGCAACCTCATACAGAAGCAAATTGAAGGATACCCTCTTGGTCTTCAAACTGCAAACCTTGTTCCTCAGGGTGCAACGTTTCCCTGGAGGCAGAAATACCTTTGCCTGAGCTGTGTCTAGGACTATCCCCAAATACTCCAGGCTCTGCACTTACCAGTCCCGCCACAGGTCCCTGACTTCCGTCAGGCACTAACCTTCACCCATCATGACGGGCATTGACATACAGACCTTCAAGGATTCAGTCCCATGCCGAGGGGCCACTGCCTTGGACCCGTATAGCACCCCGCTGCAAGCGCCTTGGTCAGATTTAAAACTGTACAGGGTCCCATCTACGTGGGGACCAGTGTCGTAAGGCTGCATTACAGGCTAAACCTTGAGGATTCTTCTCCTTATTCAGCGAGGCTCGGGTACCATCCATTTTGGCTCACAGCTTTCTGAATGGATCTGGTTAAAGTCCAGGATTCTCCAAAGGAACTTTCAGGCATGCTCCAAGATCTCAGCAACACTTTCAGTGACTATCCACCTTACAGACACTGGCTAAAAAAGGAAGTACTTCCTATATAGGAGGAGTTATATTAATATTATTATTATTATTATAAAGGATTTATATAGCGGCAACAGTTTGCTCAGCGCTTTACAATATAACGGGAGACAATACAGCAACAATACAGTTCAATACAAGGGATAGGAGGGCCCTGCTCCTTAGAGCTTACAATCTAGGAGGGAGGGGCTAGTGGTACAAAAGGTAGTAACTGTGGGGGATGGACTGGTAGGAAGAGTAAAAGATTCTGTTATTAGCTGAGGGCAGGATAGGCTTCCCTGAAGAGATAGGTTTTCAGAGATTGCCTAAAAGTGAGCAGAGTAGGCGATAGTGTGATAAATTGGGGTAGAGAATTCCAGAGGATGGGGGAAGCTCTGGAGAAGTCCTGGAGACGAGCATGGGAGGAGGAGACAAGGGAGCTAGAGAGCAGGAGGTCGTGCGAGGAGCGGAGAGTACGATTTGGGTGATATTTGGAGACAAGATTGGTAATGTAATTTGGGGCAGAGTTATAAATGGCTTTATATATTATTGTTAATGTCTTGAATTTTATCTGTTGGGCAATGGGAAGCCAGTGGAGGGATTGGCAGAGAGGGGTGGCAGATACAGAACTGTTATTAAGGTAGATGAGTCTGGCAGCAGCATTCATGATAGACTGAAGAAGGGATAGCCTGCGATTAGGTAGGCTAATGAGGAGGGAGTTACATTAGTCAAGGTGAGATATAACAAGGAAGTGAATAAGTTGCTTAGTGGTTTCCGAGGTTAAGAACGGCCGTATCTTGGAGATGTTGCGGAGGTGAAGATATAGGGGAGGGCCTCCCGATTGGTCGGCCAGTGTCCATTCACCTATAGGCGGCCTATAACCCAAATAGTCATGAATAGCCTGCTCTGTGTCCCGTGATGTACGATAAACTGTGAACTCATCATACAGAAATATGACGACATCCTCCATGCCATATAAAACAAATGCTGAACCTGAGCCATTGCTCTGCCCTACCACAATGACAAACTAAAGAAATATGTGTATATCGACCTTCAGACGATTCACTGACTGTGAATGGTGTCATACTATGTAGTGGAAGCATGACTGAGATGACAGCCTCTGAGACAGCACTTTTCAAACAAGCCAGCAAAGGCATCTCCCATATTTCTGTCCTAACAAGTTCATTATAAACCTAAAGATAGCCATGCACTGATCGACACTGGATTGGTTCAACAGTGACCGGACAAATTTTGATCAGTGTGTGGCCATCCTTGCATGTCAAAGGGAAACTTCTCTGAATCAGTGGCTGCAGAGGACCTGCAAAGGCAGAGGGGGTGAAATTCCTCCATCCAGCTTGTTTGTGTGGAATCTGTTCGTTTTTTCATTCAGCCCACAAAGCTGGCCAAAAACTAAAAGTGCTTGGCCAGCTTTAATAATCTATATTATTAAGAAATATTCATTTCCTGCCCATTATAATTCAAGTATCTAAAAATGCTCAAAAGCTTTGTTTACACTTGTGGGTGGGGTTAGTTAAAAACAGATGGTTGAGCTGTGTTTTTAACACCCCCCCCCCTTCAAATCAAGGCATAAATGAGAACATACACATGATGGTTTGCATCACAATGTAGCAAAATTATCCACATTCCCAGTCGCATTTGGCAATACTGCTTGCTGAATGCACTCATTCAAGTGAATGGGGCTACAAAAGAGAAAAGGGATGGGGAAAGAGGCGCCAAGCCCGAAGTGAATGGGGCTATGCTGCAAGTGCAAGCTTTTAGGAGTTAAATCATATGGTGAGGAGGCAGCATAACACCTCCTCGCTGCCTGTCAAATGCCCTTGAAAAAGTGATCCACCCTGGATCGCTCTGCAGAGGGCTACCAAATTGTACACAAGCCCTTAAGGCAACCAATCAGATACCTGTTCACATTTTCCCACCTGAACCAGAACAATGCTAGCTGGATTCTGATTGGGTGTTACAAGGGCCACTATTTTTTTTAGCAGCAGTTTTTATTAACAAGTCCTTTTCCATGTCATGAAGTTACACTGACCTGCCAGGACACTGATATTTCCCTCCACCAAAAGCAATAAAGCCAGCCAGAAAAACATTCTTGTCTACCATCTCCTCCGTCCAGCGTTCCTGTGGGAAGAAAGCACAGTTTTTCCAATGAGGCCTTAAGTAAATAATCTCAACTTTCCCTTCCTAGATATGAAATGACGGTCACTGAGCTTTTCTCTTTTTTAGCAACAAGTTTCGTTACCATAAATTAATTTTTTTTATTCACTTGCAATGTGGCTTTGAGCTTGGTAGAAATTTTACTATACCAGAGAAAAATCAATTCCATAGTATAGCCTCCTTCCTTGCCCCTCTCTTCTTGTCTAATTACTCTCTGTGCTGGCCCAGCTCCTCAATCCCTCTCTTCACCTTTCTACATAACCTTTTATGCAGCCACTGGGGGGTGATTAAAAAAATACTATAGTGTCACTTCAGTCTGCTGGGTCTACTGACATTACATCCAAGATGGTGGTGCCCAGCAACAGTCTCAGGGAGGCTTTTACAGGTAAATAACATGCATAAATCCCATTAAGTGCACATATAATCTTATGATAAGGGTTTTGGAATGAATCGTCTGTCACAGTGTTTCTTTAAAATGGAAAATCAGAAAATTTCCAGAAAATTTAACAAAAAAAGATAGGCAAAGAGCAATACTAAAACTTTAAGTTGAAGTCCAGGTGTGGATTTTTGGCATAAGTACAACAATCCAACGTGAACCAATGTAACTATGCATATTCCTAGATTGTAAGCTCTAACAAGCAGGGCCCTCTGTTTCCTCTTGTACCAAATTGTATTGTAACTGTAATGTCTACCTTCATTCTGTTAAGCGCTGAACCTGTGGGATTCCTTTTGTAGCAGGGAGGACTGACCATTCGAGCACTCGGGCACTGCCCGAGGGCCCGGGGTCAGTAGGGGGCCCCATGAAATGCCCCTGGTACCTTTTTTATAGGCTATAGTGTGGGCAAGGACACAGGGGCCCCATGATCCCCTATTGCCCGGGGGCCCCATGAGTTGTTAGTCCGCCCCTGTTTTGTAGTATTTGCTGCTACTCCACTGTCTTCTGGATCCTATGCGGAGAGGCTGCCCTGCTACAAAGTAACCAAAGGGGGGTACTCACTCAACCCCCTGTGCCATTTACAGAATGCCTTGCATTTTCTAGATGAATACAAGATGTTCTGTAAATGGACGAGGTGGAGATTGTGACATCATTGCCCCACCCCCTCATCCAATCAGAGAATGTTTTTGCATACATTGAGAAAATGAAAAGTGTTCACTTAATGGCACCGATGCTGAGTGAGTGAACCTCTGTGGTTACTATGCAGCAAGAGAACCACTCAGCATGGGATCTGGAAGACAGTGGTGATCCCTGGAGTAGAGGTGTATACTACAGTAATTTCCAGCTTCTGAAGGTATGGAATATGGATTACATTGGTTCAAGTTGGATCATTGTAACTATGTAAAATAATCCATACCATACCTGGAATCCAACTTAAACACAGCAAGCACACTGTAACAATGGCGGCTACTACAGTGATTATCCACTTTAACAGGAATTCCGTCCCACAGGTATGGAATATGCATACTTACATTGGGCCAAGCTATGCAAAACAAACCATACCTGGAGTTGAGTTTTAGAGATCTCTTGCCACCCGTGTCTGTGTACAGCCCCCTCCTCTAACCACTTCATAGTCACCAACAGGGTTACAAGATAAAGAATGATGAGTAAATAAACCCCTCACCAAGTGAGTCATAAAACATATAGCATTTATTGTACAGACATAATTGTTTACAAACCAAAAAACACAGGGTTTTGCATCTTTTTCTGTCTCATATTACCAAATAGCTTGAATGAAATATTTTGCATGCAAACATACTGTATATAATATATGGCATCCCAGTTTATTTATTGTACAGATATATTTGACATGAGCCATTTTCGAATATGAGATAAGAATGACAAAGGGCCCTGTGATATTGGTTTTTAAATTGTCTGTGAAATCTCTCATTTATCCAGGTCATGGGATCTATAGCTATACCGAACTCCCCTCCAAGCTAGAGGTCTATTATTTGTAACCTATGTAGCCAGAAATAAAGACTGGGCAGCCTTGGGTATGCTAGTATTACAGAACAGCATAGATGATGATAGAGATATTAAAAACACCCCCAAGACAAGGGGGGTTAGAACTTGAGGGTCACATATCTTCCAAAGACCCACACCCTAACATCTATAGGAGTAAAAAAAGACACAGAAATAAATGTGCTGACAATACATGGACATCAATAAATAAAAAATAAGAAAAAGTTGCCAGTTTAATGGCTACTTAGACCAAAAGGTCTACATAAAATGGCTAGGCGTTACAGCCTGGTAAAAAAAAAAAGTTGCCCTGGTCTCGACCAAAAGGCCTAGTCTAGGGCCTATTCTCACAGTGGGGTCCCAAACCCATAGTGATACTAGGAGCAACTCCAGGTCACCACCACAGGGGGTGTGTAACACTGCAGGGAGTCCCATAATGACAGCAGAGTACCCCTACTGGACACTGAGAAGAACAGATAATACAGTTGATCTTAGTCAAGAGGCTGGCTAAAGGGTCAGTCCATTCAAAATGACTTTTGAAGATTTTGGTAGACGCTGGAGAATTAGACTACCTGACCATTTATTTTGCTCCTTTATGTAGCACCCTCCTAGTTGCTGGTTAAAGTAAAACTTAGTTGGCTCTCCTGTTGGCAGTGTGTGCAAGGGTGCATTGTTGTTTAGGAGGCTGTGCAGAGCTTTACAGGCTGTGGCCTTGTTACCTCCTCCTGTCTTCTGGAACTGATTGGAAGTCTCCAAAACATGGTGGGTGGGGGAACAGAGGCTGCAGTCTGAATATTAATGGAACTTTCATCAATCCTTGGGAAGGCTGGCGAAGAAGGTGGGAAAGCAGCCCATAAATGTTCTGAAGTCTGGGTGCAGAGTCCAGGGTCCAGCAGTCGGGAGGTGACCCTTTTGCCGGGGGCTCTGCTCCTTCAGGCAAAAAGGAGAAGAGGAGGAGAGGTGGAGGAAGGAGGGAGAAAAAGGCCCAAAGACCAGCGGCTCATTCGGAGGAAAGTGCGACATCTAGAATTCTCTGTTGCTGAGATCTCTACACTTACCTTTCTGAACTCACTGGAAGTCTCCAGAACATGGTGGGTGGGGGAACAGAGGTTGCAGTCTGAATATTCATGGAACTTCCACCGATTCCTAGGAAGGCAGGCCCACAAGGTGGGGAAGCAGCCCATAAATATTCTGAAGCCTTGCAGTCTGGGTGCAGAGTCCATGGAGTTCAGCAGTCAGGAGTGACCCTTGTGCTTGGGGCTCTGCTCCTTGGGGCACATAGGAGGAGTGGAGGAGAAGGAGAGGGATTCAGGAACTCACAAAGCTTTAACTTCAGCTAGGCTTAGCTGTAGACTCCTAGCCAAGTCAGAAGCAACTTTTCCAGCAAAAGACCAAGACAGCAGCCCTCTGGATCCTAGGAGCTTCTTAAAGGGACTGAGGGCGATTACAAACCAGCCGTTACCCATATGGGAGAGGACAGTGAAGTGCAATGCCTCATGTGTCTGGAACCAAGTGTAGCTCAAGTGCAGTGCAAGACAGACCGGAGTATGCTAGATCTCTAACCTTGGGACCAGAGCAGCCAGGTGCCATGCAATACAGCCAGGTCCCGTGTGGTAAAGACAACCACTTTGTACTTTTATCCCTTGTTGCTGCTGCACTACCATCCCCTTGTTGTGGAGCATAGTTCTCAGTTTGGATTAGAGCAACCAGAGACTTATCAGGTCCTCTATTGTCTGTTTGAGGTTTGACAGTTTGCTTCAGTTCTGGGTATCCCATGCACCCCCACTTCCTATCCAAGTTCAATGTTCCTAAAATAAACACCAATAACCAAAACCCCTAGACTGTTTATTGAGCCATCTGGAGGCCTGTGAAAATACCATTTGCCTGAATGTGAGGTAGGGGAGAAAGGCCCCAAAAACATTGGCTCATTCAGAAGTAGTGCTATATCTAGAACTCTCTGTTGTTGGAAGTCCCTGCAGTTACCTTTCTGAATCTGCATACCTTCTGGTGCCAATATGAGGAATTTCCACTGTGCCCATTATTTGTACAAGTAGTTAGTCACATTTAACTAGACTCATTTTGTAAGGATGAAGATGTTTCATAGCTTATCCAAGCATAGCATAGCTTTAATCCAACCACCAAGGAATGTGAGGACTGTCCAAGAACACAATGCAAGGTGTGAAAATCCTGGAACCACCTTGCTCTAGAGAACATATTTTCACACTTGGTGTCATAAATTTACATATATACAGTATGTGTTAATCCAATTTACATGGCTGAAGATGTGATTCAATTTCATTCAAATCGCCAGGGTAGAGACTTTAAACGGCATCATATGTAGGAAACAGATGGTGTCATAGACCCCCATCTCTGTTTAGAGATGGTTGTTCCAGTTTGAAGTAGATGACCTCTTTCATGCCTCTTGCAAACCAGTTGTCCTCTGTCCAAACTGTGCACTGCCCTGTTCTTGAAGGAAGGTCTTAAAATGTAAAATTTGCCCTCCATTGTTGGGCTATTTATTTGTTCAGAGGTTGCTTGGTCTCCCCAATGTACAGGTCTTTGCATTCCTCACTACACCACACATACCAAGTTACTTGACTTGAGTTTGGGTGTTGGGTCTTATGGATATACGAACTTCAGTCTGTCAGTGTGTTGCTGGACTTTAAAAATGCAGTGGTCCAATGTTTGTGCAAAATCCTTCTGAGTTTTTAAATTATTTATTTAAATAATTTTTGTTAATTTGCAGTTTACTCTTTGTATAATAATAAAATAATATAGGTTTATAATAAGGAATACATCTAAAACTCAGAGAGGGGTTTATTTGCCCATCATTCCCATATCTTGAAACCCTGTAGATACGTTTGCCTTTGATGGCTTCGGCATCATCTCATCAATATTTTCTAAGCTGCCTTTGCATTTCCATTAACTGGAGATCAAGGCCATTCTGATGTATACAAAAGCCTGGGTACAGGGGCCCTAACTGTGGAAGCTTGCTGACTAGTGGGGAATGGACACATGGATGACCTCAGGAGTGTTTTGCTGCTTCTTCATTGTCTAAGTCACAAATGGGGGTGGGAAGGTGACTAAGCTGTACTGAATATGTGTGGTAGAATGTGTGAATGGCTGAACAGAACTGAAAATTATTTGACAGGCTAAACAGTTCACATATACTGTATGTCCCTTAAATGTGCTTTAGCTGCTGGGTGGAATTTGGCTTTAGATTCTTAGTTTATCTTTAACATTGCATAGCAAAGTCACCTTACACATGTGTTCCAGTGCGCCCATTTGGTAACTTACTGGTTTAAATTTTTCAGGATCTGGAAAAAATATTTTGGGTCCCGATGAATCCAATATGGAGACAACATCAACAGGTCCCCTGGAGGAATCTCATAATTCTGCAGAAAGAATAAATAAAGCAATGGGTTGTGTCAGGCAGACTGCCAAGCTTTGACCTGTGATTTTAAGTGAAAGCACAATACAGAAGCAAAGGCAATAGACTCCTTTTATTGAATGCAATGCACAGATGTGAATACAAAGGGAAGAAACTGAAGACACATAAACATAGAATGATCAAGTAGCATGTTACCTAAAGATCAGTTTAAATCAGCGAAAGACATTATTATTATTATTATTATACAGGATTTATATAGTGCCAACAGTTTGCTCAGCGCTTTACAATATAAAAGGGAGACAATACAGCAATAATACAGTTCAATACAAAATGGCCCTGCTCCTCGGAGCTGACAGCAGGATAGACTTCCCTGAAGAGATGGGTTTTCAGGGATTGTCTAAAAGTGGACAGAGTAGGCAACAATCAGACAGATTGGAGTATAGAGTTCCATGCACATTCTTGGTGCATCCAAACAAAAAATGTGTATAATCTTATTTGTTTGCACTCTTTAGAAAGCCCTGCCCTATGCCAGCATGTTAATCTCTGTGTGCAAGCACTGGTCTCACTGCAGAGGTGACATGCCCCCTGCTGAGTCAGAGCTAGAGGTCTCCAATCAGCAGGGAGTATGAGCTATAGGTCTGACCACGGGCGGACTGACCATTCGAGCACTCGGGCACTGCCCGAGGGCCCGGGGTCAGTAGGGGGCCCCATGAGATGTCCCTGGTACCTTTTTCATAGGCTTTTTTGGGTGTGGGCAAGGACACAGGGGCCCCATGATCCCCTATTGCACAGGGGCCCCATGAGTTGTCAGTCCGCCCCTGGGTCTGACTCAGTAGAAGGTGTGTTAGACCGCTACTGAGAGACCACTGCTTCCCCTTAGACAGCAAGGGTCCTTTTGCTACAGCATGCTGGCAGTGGCTGGGCTTTTCCACTCATGATGTGGCTACTTTCTAAAGAAAAAAGAAATACTGTAAAAACTTTAGACATTCATTTGCTGTACTTGTAATGTATTCTGCCGATTTAAACTAATTCAGTTGGACTTTAAAGAAACAAAAAGAAGAGAAAACCTAAGCCCACCTGCGCATTTTGCTTGGCACCTTTTATCGCCTAAAAACCTTTAGTGCAGAAGTTTGAGCACCAGAGTACATCATGTGTACTGTCATAGGGGTGGGTAGGCAGTCCCATTCTGATAGCAATAAAGTAAAAATAACATGAAACATTAAAGCTTAATAAAATAAAGAATTTGAAGGAAAAAAAAAGACCCTACCTAAAAGCTTGAAAATTAAGGCACCAGCCTTACACACATATGAAGCAAACATGTGAGTATGTTGCACATAAGCAACGTTTGTGCAACATATATTTGGTATCGCTCTCGCATGCTAGAATGAGAGAAGTAATTCTAGCACCATCATTTACTGTTAACTCAAAATTCATAGCTGTAAAGGCCTTTAAATCACCGCCTATGGACAATTCTGGGTAGTGTAACCTGTCCCCGCTTCATAGATGTCTGCAATTATGAGGTTTGCCATATTTGGTATCTGCTTGCATACATTTGTTCTGTGCAAATAAGGGTAAAAAGTAAATGTTATTAGGCTACTTCTTTTTCCAAAGGCTTCCTTTGTGTGAAATACATGGTGTTCCTGCCAGTCACTCCCTGCTCTTCTATTTCAAACTGACCACACTAGGCAGAAGAACACAGATATCCCACAATGGTCAGTTTTATGGCTATGCTAGGAGCACAGAATGCCTGTCCTTTAATAATCAGACTTGTGATGCACAGCTCCTCACTGGGAAGATCAGTGTACTGCTGTTCCTCTGGCTCCTGCTGACACATCCCCCTTTTAGTCAACACCCCCTACTCTCTAAGCCCCTTATGCAGCTGAGAACAGATGGCATGCTGCAGCGCACAGTGCACAGAAGTTGGCAACGGTCTTCAGAATCAATAGCTAAAGACCTCTAAACTTCGTGTGGCCTTCAGATTAGCACAACAACAGAGAGCTTCATGTGTGTGTAGAGAGCTTCATGGAATGGGTTTCCATGGCCGAGCAGCTGCATCCAAGCCTTACATCACCAAGTGCAATGCAAAGCGTCGGATGCAATGGTGTAAAGCACGCCATCACTGGACTCTAGAGCAGTGGAGGCGTGTTATCTGGAGTGACGAATCATGCTTCTCTGTCTGGCAATCCAATGGACATTTGACCTGGGTTTGGCGGTTGCCAGGAGAACAGTACTTGCCTGACTGCATTGTGTCAAGTGTAAAGTTTGGTGGAGGGGGATTATGGTGTGGGGTTGTTTTTCAGGGGTTGGGCTTGGCCCCTTTGTTCCAGTGAAGGGAACTCTTAAGGAGTCAGCATACCAGACACTTTGGACAATTTCATGCTTCCAACTTTTAGGGAACCGTTTGGGGATGGCCCCTTCCTGTTCCAATATGACTGAGTACCAGTGCACAAAGCAAGGTCCAAAAAGACATGGATGAGCGAGGTTGGGGTTGAAGAACTTGACTGGCCTGCACAAAGTCCTGAACTCAACCCGAAAGAACACCCTTGGGATGAATAAGAGCGGAGACTGCGAGCCAGACCCTCTCATCCGACATCAATGCCTGACCTCACAAATACGTTTCTGGAAGAATGGTCAAACCTTTGCATAGACACACTCCTAAACATTGTGTACAGCCTTCCCAGAAGAATGGAAACTGCTATAGCTGCAAAGGGTGGGCCAACTCAATATTGAACCCGACGGACTAAGACTGGGATGCCATTAAAGTACATGTGTGTAAAGGCAGGCGTCCCAATACTTTTGGCAATGTAGTGTACTTTAATTTTTGCAATTCCATCTTCTACTAGAGTAGGAAGGTATGAATAAAACAATAATTTCAGATTGGTTAATACACTTTGCAGAATGTTTGGAATAAATACCTACATAAACTTTCAATGGTTTTACCACTTTCCTGGTAATAACTCCTGGGGACCTCAGCCTTATGGCCTCCAGGACACAGGACTTCACATATGGGACTTTCTTCAGATCAACTGCAGTAATACTCAAATGATGCTGACCTGGCCAAAGAGAGACCCAAACATTAAAGTGAGCCATTTGCTCCATCAAATAAGAAATGCAATACATTTTTGTATAAAGTTTACTCATCAGGAACAGGACATAAATGAGCAGAGGGCTTTTGTGTGTAAATCAATTCAAAGGGCAATAGCGCATGCCAAATGAATAGACCTATAGTAATCACGTTTCCTGAGCAGCACTGTTGATTGATGCATTCTGCAGGGGGAGTTTTGGAATGATGGAGACCTAATCTCCTGTGTGACAGCAATGGTCCCCTTCTCCAGCAAGCTGCCAGCAAAAGATATTTTAACCCTTGGTGCAACAATTAGTATGTAACAAAAGAAAAAAAAAATCTGCAACTATAATGTGTCCCAGAATAAAGTGCTAAGTAGTTCAAGTGTATGCCGATTGTAGTTAGGATAGATTGGGATAAAACCCCAGTTAGTTTATTATTTAGATAATAAGTGAATCTGAGATTGAAGCACCGCCCCATGAATTAATAGTCCACATACAAATATATTTTTTCCAATATAAAGTCAGAGGGAAGATACACAAGAAAGCCATCTTCTTTTGGGGGGTAAAACTTGCCCCCTTTATCAGAACTAAAGAATGTGAAGTACAAATGGCAACCACCCAACCTATAACTTTGCAGCAAGGAGCACATGGAAGGGCGACACATGTCAAAAAACAAACAAAAATTCCCCGATCACTTACCAGCCAGCCTGCAACCCAAATTAACCCTATCTAACAGTTCATGTTAAAACAAGGGGTTTTGTGTGCACACATTTACAAATATATACGTGAGCTGCAGAGGCCACGTCAAAGCACTCCAGTGTACTGCAGTCCTAATTCTATAACATTCTGAGAATCTCCAGAGTTGAAGCACATACACTCTCAGGCCACTATATTAGGTACACCTGTTCAATTGCCTGGTAACACAAATTGCTAATCAGCCAATCACATGGCAGCAACTCAATGCATTTAGGCATCTAGACGTGGTGAAGACGACTTGCTGAAGTTCAAACCAAGCATCAGAATGGGGAAGGAAGGGAATTTAAGTGACTTTGAACCTGGCATGGCTGTTGGTGCCAGATGGCTGGTCCAAATATTTCAAAAACTGCTCATCTACTGGTATTGTCACACACAGCCATCTCTAAGGTTTACAGAGAATGGTCTGATAAATAAAAAATATCCAGTGGGCGGCAGCTGTGTGGACAAAAAATGCATTGTTGGTGTCAGAGATCAGAGGAGAATGTGCAGACTGGTTCAAAATGATAGAAAGGCAACAGTAACTAAAAAAAAAAACCACTCATTACAACCAAGGTATGCAGAATGCCATCTCTGAATGCACAACACATCGAACCTTGAAGCAAATGGGCTATAGCAGCAGTACACCACACCGGGTGCCACTCCTGTCAGTTAAGAACAGGAAACGGAGGCTACAGTCTCATAAAAACTGGACAATAGAAGATTTGAAAAACGTTGCCTGGTCTAATGAGTCTCAATTTCAGCGGCATTCAGATGGTAGGGTCAGAATTTGGCGTAAACAACATGAAAGCATGGATCCATCCTGCCTTGTATCAATGGTTCAGGCTGCTGGTGGTGGTGTAATGGTAAGGGGGATATTTTCTTGGCACACTTTGGGCCCCTTAGTACCAACTGAGCATCATTTAAATGCCGTGGGCTACCTGAGAGTTGTTGCTGACCATGTCCATCCCTCTATGACTAGTGTACCCATCTTCTGATGGCTACTTCCAGCAGGATAATGCACCATGTCACAAAGATCAAATCATCTCCAACTGGTTTGTTGAACATGACAATGATTTCACTGTACTCCAATGGCCTTCACAGTCACCAGATCTCAATCCAAAGAGAGCACCTTTGGGATGTGGTGGAACGGGAGATTCGCATCATGGATGTGCAGCCGACAAATCTGCAGCAACTGCGTGATGCTATCATGTCAATATGGACCAAAATCGAAGAAAAATATTTCCAACACCTTGTTGAATCTATGCCATGAAGAAATAAAGCAGTTCTGAAGGGAAAAGGAGGTCCAAACCTGGTACTAGCAAGGTGTAACTAATAAAGTAGCAGGTGAGTGTATATAATCATGGATAGATTGGGGGCAAGTATGCCTGGAGTGAGCACACAGCTCCTTAAAAAGGTATAGAGATGTACTGGACACCCAACAATAGCACAATGGCAGCGAAGGTATCCAGTGCATCCCCTGCCAGCCTGCAACAAACCGAATTACCCGAACAGTTCACGTTAAAAAATAAGGAGTTTAGTTTGCACATATTTGCAAATAGAGGCATGTCAGGGCACCCCAGTGTACTGCAGTCCTAATGTGAATCAGTGTATACAGACTTAAATGGGGATTCAAAGTGTAGCTTTCACTGGTGGGCCCCTTTAACCTCTTCATGCCGGCCACACACAAATGTGCGGCCTCCCGACGTCTGGCCTAGACGCCAAGCGGCCACACATTTGCGTTCTATTAAAAAAAAAACGTGCTGAGAGCGCGCGCCCTACGCGCTCCCAGTATACATGTCTGGTACTCACGGAAAGGTCCCGGTCCACTCCTTCGATCGGGACCTTTCCCGATCATGTGACCATGATCGGGAAAGGTGCGGCCACAAGATCCCTAAACCCCGCCTATCCTGCCTGCCGGATTCTGAAACTCTTAAAGGGCCAGGAGGCGCCGGTGTGAAGGGGTTAAGTCCCTCAGCAAGTTGTTTTCTCAGCTGCAAATTGTTTCTCTCCCTGCCTGATGGACAATTCAGGGAGAGAGGACACAGAGAACTCCAACTGGCTGCCACTGCAGGCTTGATAGGCCTGCACCTAACAATGGGGCAGGAGAATCCCTGATTGGCTTTCTTTTGGTTAGGAAGTTAGCCCTGTGCACCTCAACCACTCTCAGATTTCTACAGCATAATAGCTAATCATTCTGTAGTCCAAGATAAGAAATAGGAGGGCTAAATAGACTCTGTGAGATAACACAGGAAATGTGCCCAGGGCACGGGACAGCTAAATGCTTTCAATGGTATACTAAACAGACCAAAGGGGGGCAAATCAGAGCAGTTTGTTTTAGGGTTTACATACACTTTAAGCAAGCTGCTGCTGTTAAAACGATTTTATACCCAAAGAAAAAAGTGGAATATATTGCAGTGTACCAATCCCAAAATATTGTGGCTGCATTAAATTTCTTTTTTTAGTTTTTTTCCCCCCATTATTTTAACCTGTTGATCTGGCCAGTAACACACCTCCTGTCTTGGGGTTTCTCCACTCTTGTTGGAGAACCAATGGAGCCACCCTTAGACAATATCAACCCAGGGAGAGGGCAATGTTAGATATGCAGATTTAGATGAACTTGACTAACACTGTTCAACAGGTAAAAAGTTTTGGGCATAAAATTAGCTAATCTTACATAATTTTGGGGTGCTGAAAACGAAAATGACCCTAAAAAATGTTGATTGGCTCTAGTTTCCATGATATATTCACCCATCTAATGACGTAAGCCATTCAAAATTATGATGCAACTTCAGCTGCATATTGCGCAATTGATACTGGTGACCAATAGAAAATTGCATGTATACTGAGATGATGCAATATTAGCCTTTAATTGCATCACTTCACTGCATAAAAGCTGCAGTATCTGTAGCTGATTGTAGTTCGACAGCGTCTTTACATTTCGTTTTATGCTTATATAGGCTACTCAGTAATGCCTCGAACTTGTGTGAATAAAGCAGATAATTTCTGCTATATCTGCGGTGAAATAACTTTTGTCTCACAAAAAAGGAGGATAACAGGAATGATTAAGAAAGCCTACAACTTGTATTTTGGCTGCAAGATAGGAGACCAGGACAAGAGCTGGGCACCACATATATGCTGCAATTCTTGTGGGACGGCACTGGAGCAATGGTTGAATGGAAAAAAAGGCATCTATGCCTTTCGCTGTGCCAATGATTTGGAGAGAGCCAACAGATCATGTTAGTAATTGTTACTTTTGTATGGTGCCTCCAATTGTAAAAGGGCTAAATAAGAAGAAAAAGTTATCTGTGCACTATCCAAATATTCCATCGGCAATACGTCCAGTTCCTCATGGAGAGGGGCTACCAATTCCTAAAGCACCAGAATCCTTCGTGGTTGAGTCAAGTGAGGAAGAACCTGAAGCGTGTAGTCACGTGCTGTTGTAAGAGATATAGCCCTTTCCTCGAATACAAGAGAAAAGCCAAGAGAAGCAAAACCGACACAAACTGAAGACAAAACTAGTGAGAATCCTAAGTATTAAAATGATTCAACTTAGCTTATGGCTATAATTTTTCTTGGTAATCCTATGCAATATATTATGCCATTTAGGCTTTGTTATGTAGTCAGTATCACTTGCTTTATATTTGTGGAAAGACATCTATCTATATAATTATTGTGCATTATGTAGTCATTACGCCTATAGTAGAAAACTTTCCGTTTACAGAAAAACTAGAGCCAATTGACAAATTTCATTGTTATATTTGAACTCAGAATGTGAAATTCATTAAGAAATGGATCCTTTTGTTTCCAAAACTGGCAAAAAATAAAAATTTGTTGAACAGTGTAATCAATTAAAGCTGAATTCCGCAGAAGCCAGAGAAATAAGCTTCGGAAACCATTAATTAAGACATAGCTAGGGCTATGCATAGCGAACAGCGCTCTTCTTACTGTTCTTATGATAGGATAAATTTTTGCAATATTTTTGGCAATATTTTCCATTCATCTTTCATTAGTGATGTGTCCAAGAATTTACATAATTTAAAAGGTTAAAAAATAACTGGCGTTCCATGATGAAAGACCATCTAAATTCCATGGAACACATGCACAAATATTTTCCTAACAGCATCAAGCCTTTTTTTGGCAGGGCAGGTATTCTTCTCATTCGAAATAGCACAATTGTTCTGTCCTACAAATAGGCGCAAATCCTCCGTGATAAAGGGGAATCTCAAAGCCATGATTAACATTCCATAAGGAC